CTGAGAGAGCTGGGGTTGTTTAGTCTAGAGAAGAGGAGGCTGAGAGGAGACCTTATCGCTCTCTACAACTACCTGAAAGGAGGGTGTAGTGAGGTGGGTGCTGGCCTCTTCTCTAAAGTAACAAGTGATAGGACAAGAGGAAACCGCCTCAGGTCGCCCCAGGGAAGGTTTAGGCTGGATATTAGAAAAAATTTCTTCACCGAAAGAGCGGTCAGGCATTGGAACAGGCTGCCCAGGGAAGTGATGGAGTCACCATCCCTGGAGGTGTTCAAGAAACGTGTAGATGTGGTGCTTAGGGACATGGTTTAGTGAGTTAGGTGGTGTTGGGTTGGACTTGATGATCCTTGAGGTCTTTTCCAACCTTAATGATTCTGTGATTCTATGAAGTGCGCTGCCCACCTGAGTGTGGCAAGGTGAGGTGGATTTAAGGATGGGGCGGTGTGGTCACCGTTGCTTCGGCAATGCCCGTGCCACGTCAGCCTCTTGAGGGAGAGCTGGTGGTAGGAGTTGGGGTACACCGCTTTCTCGGGGTTTGGTCTTAACAAATGACTGTGGGAAAAATTTATCTCCGCTTATTTCAAGCAGGGGATGAAACCATGTTTTTGTCTCACTTCAAAATAAAAAAAAAGGTGTTTAAGAGTAATGCATTTTCAAAGTAACTGCTATGTAGATACTTTTTCTTCAAAATTAGGGGAGACCTTCCTTCAAACAAGCAGCCTTTCACCATCTTTTTTCTTGCCTTTTTCTCTTTTTGTCTTTTTCTCTTTTTTTTTTTTTAAATTCATTTGTATTAGAATTACCAAATTACTTGATGCTTTATGACCTTTAGAGTTTGGTAATGGTTTATTAACAGTATTTTTTTACTTCCAAGAGAATATATCTTGAAAGCACTCAGGGGAGGGAGGGTGGTTATTGTAAAATTGAATGGATATCTTTTGTATTTCTTCATGGGATTTGAAACTGGATGCTTAAGTTTATCTTCCTTAACATGCCGCTGTACTCTTCAATCACTGCCCTTTTTTACTGCCTCAAGGTGAAGATGTACAAAAGGTTTTAGATGAGTGGAAAGAATACAAAATGGGAGTGCCAACTTATGGTGCAATTATTCTCGATGAGACACTTGAAAATGTAAGTATGGAAATAATTGTGAAGGGCTATAAGGAAAGATGGCATATGCTGGCAAAAGTAGTCTTCTTGTTTACATTTTTAATCTAGAGAAAAAAAGAAGTGCTTCAGATTCACAAAGACCTGACAGTCACTTGACACTGTTGAGTGTCTACAGAAATGTAATATGGGACATAGTAAACACACTTCTACTAGCTTTCCTACTCAGTGTTTTTGGTTTTGGTTTTTTTTGGTTTGTTGGTTTTGTTTTTTTTTTTAAATTCTGAATTGCATGGTCCCATTAAAAAAAAATCACAGTTCTTGCTAGAATAGGTTCCTTCCTCCAGGCCAAAGTATCTTTTTGGAGAAGTAGGGGACAGTGAAGGGAAGACAGAAGAAGTTGGGCTCGAATAGTGGGTGTTTGACAATTGCATTCCCTTGTATTTTGCAGGTTCTTTTGGTTCAGGGCTATTTAGCAAAGTCTGGTTGGGGATTTCCCAAGGGGAAAGTAAATAAAGAAGAGGCCCCTCATGACTGTGCTGCTAGAGAGGTAAGTTATATCTGATTCCCTGAAATTCAAGCTAAAGAAATGAAATTCTGCTGAGAGCAGGATAGGAGTTGCTAAGTTAAGTGAACACTATTTTTAAAGTTCTCTGCTGAACTATCAATTTAGTTTTAAGTATTATTTTTGATGCTTGGGAAATCTTAATGTACTTTGTGGCTTTTGGAATATTAATTTCAAGGGCCACCATAACTGCAGAGGAAAGAAGTAATTTAGCTTATGTACGCTGGGCTATGTAAAGAGGCTAGAGTTGAGTTGGAAGTTGTAGAAGACATGTAAAAATAGTGAAGAACTTTTCAATTTCTTAGTCATGCAGGAACAAGGATCAATGTATATGGCAAGTAAAATCTGGAAAATAAAATAATCTGTGGGATTTATCGCTGCTGGAGTCCTAGATACATAGTGAAGCTGCTAAAAATAGCCTGTAAAAGGGTATTGCTGGTATAAACTCAATGATCATGTAACATAATACATACAGAATTTTTGAGAGGGAGAATTAAGATGAGGGAAAGTAGTGAGATGCATTAGTTTTCTTCATGGCTGGACTGAATCAGTATCAGAGAAATCATGCTTTTTTTTTTTTTAAATATACCTGTCAAAGATGCATGAATGAAAAATACCCTATTTCTCATTCCCTGTTGGTGCTTTCCATACCACTCGCATATTTAATATGGACTTGGAAAAGCAAAATAAGGTGTTAGATCTTAACAGTGCACTATTATGTGATCAACACACATGAAATACTCTTTCATATTAGCAATTACTGATCTCTGAGTGCAGAGTATAGTATCAAATGACTTGCCAAAGAGTGAAATACTGAGCTACAGATGCAGTGGGCTGTCATTGCAGAACTCAAGGGCTGGGGAAGGATGAGCAGAGACTTAATAAGGTTAACTTGATTATTCAATGCATGTCTCTTTCTCCCTACCCCATAAATAGCTTGTGCAGTTAAACTTTTACTAGTCAGATGCTTTTAGGGTTTGTCTAAAGGACTGAAATGAAGGAAAGGAAACTATGAAAAGATATGGACCACAATACAGTGGACAGGACCATCTAGGCTTATCTGCTTCAGGAGGGAATGACGTGCAGTATGCCTTCCTCTTTACTTCACCTTATGCTAGCAAAAGCACTAAAGTGGGCACAGTTATACTGGGAAAAAATATTTTGATGGTTGTTTTAATTTGGAGAATTGATTTAGATTGCGCTAGTGAACAACAGTGCTATGATCTTTTTCCATCAAGGTAGACTGTTATTGTGGATACAGTGGCAAATTCTTCAAGGTGTACATCAGCAGGAAAAAAACTGTAATATCTGTTCATAAATCTTTTAACTGCTTTTACTGGAGTCAGCACAGGTCTGAAACCATAAACTGCATCTGTATAAGGTCTAATTGAAGAGGTCTTCACTTGGCAGTGCCTACGCAGTTCAGTAGTACTTCAGAAGTTGATGAGGGCAAAACAACATTCTCTTGCAAAAAGGAGTTTCTATAATGAATTCACTGATATAGTCTGGAAAGATAATTTAGGAAGGAAAAAAAATGATGTTAGTAAGAGTAAGCATGGAGGAAAAGCATATCTTCTCTTAATTGAGACAGTCTGTGGTGGGTTTTTTGGTGGTTTTTGTTGGTTTGTTTTCCCCTAAACTTAGCTGTTCTTAGTGCAGTTAGATGGGAAGATGGCTTGCTTTCTATTTTGATATGAGGAGTTGTACATGCTAATTTGAAGACTAGCTGGTCAGTTATTTGCTTTGTATTAAATGCTTCTGTTTTTTTCTTATTTGTGCTGAATTTCCTCAGCATTTTCAAAAATGCAACTTAGAGCCATTTTGCTGATACCAATATTGGTATTTCACATAACATATTTTGAGTATTCCCTGCTATTATTATTTTACATGCAGTTATTTGGTTCTATTTTTCATTATACATATCCACAGGAGATGGAGCTTAAGAAGAGGTTTTACTGAAGATCCTGTACCTCTTTTTAATGCTAAATCTGGTCTTTAAAAAATTTAACTGAGGACTTCTGCATTTGTATAATTGGCACTGGTGCTTAATAGCCCTGGGATTAACATCCAGTTCTATGAGTGATTGTTTAAATACATGTTCCACTGTCTGGGCAGAAATATTTTTGACAGTGGTATCAATCCTGCATTTTTTCTGAGTACTTTTATTTCCTGTGGAGATTTTGAGGACTCAGAGGTTTCTGAAAATGAGTGTTTACTTAGCACGCTTAGAGGTATGATCTGATTTAAGCTACTGGTGTGTTTGACATGAATCTTGTTATATTATAAACCTTGTATATTTGAGAATGTTGTCAAAAGTGTTTAGAAGTTAAGGCTTTGAGCAACCTGATGTAGTGAAAGCTGTCCCTGCTCATGGCAGGGGGATTGGACTTGATGACGTTTGAAAGTCCCTTGCAACCCAAACCATTCTGTGAAAGTGATCCATCCCTGCAAGACCATAAACATGCAAAGAAAATGTTCTTTTTAAAATATCGTCTTTCTAGTAATCTCCAGCAGGTATAACACTCCCATTTTTTTTTTAATTTAGAGTAGCTGACAATGCAGTTTGAAGTTTGTTTGTCAGTGTGAATGTGCAGTTTGAAATTTTTAGTAAAAGTTTTGCTACCCCGTTCTTGGGTTTTGTTATGAACATAAAAATGATTTTATGTATTGGGGGCAGAAGGTTCATGAAGTAGAAGAATTATTGAAAGAGAAGAAAAAGTGAGGTGCAAGTAAGTCTGAAGATGTCTTTATTCCCCAAATAGTAGGTTTTGCTGTGAATAAGATTTCCGTGCATCCAGCAAGCATGGAGGAGCATTGAGAGACTCCTCATCCATATTAATAAAATGCTATATGAAGATGCAATAGACTTGTTTCAAGTTTTATTACAGGCCTATCTGTCTTAAAGAAATGTAAAGCACATAGGATCTTAGATATTTTTTCTGTTGTTGAACATATATGTGTAAAGGCTTGTTTTTCCCGCAGTGGCCTGCTTGCATGGCTAGAGCTGAAAAACAGTTGTTCCTTCTCTTGTGATGATAGGTTCTGAAAGGATAAATCTGAATACACACACTGATTTAATCTTTATGCTTCTCAGGTGTTTGAAGAAACTGGGTTTGATATAAAAGATTATATCTGCAGAGAAGAATACATTGAGCTGCGAATTAACGATCAGTTAGCAAGGCTGTACATCATTCCAGGAGTTCCCAAGAATACAAAATTCAACCCCAAAACTAGAAGGGAAATTCGGGTATGTGTTTGAATCTATAGGAAACTTGTTGTGGAGCTTGATTTTTTGAGCTAATGGTCTGTAAAATGATGAAACTACAGAGCATGAAGAAAACCTCAAATATTAGCTACAAGTGGCATCTCAGCACTGTAGAGTCATGTCTGCTTCTTGCAGCTTTACTGCAAAGACTTGATCCTTGACCATCTGTCTGATGTCTACATTCATCATGAAATCAACATCAGAGCATGCTGTCAAAGTATAATTTTCCCCTTCTTTTCTCTTAAGTGGTGTATGTGTTAATCATTTCATGATATATTCCTAGCTACAGCTGCATATATAACTATATATGCTTCTGAAGATGTAATTATTGATTGGTGATATACAAAAGCCTACATATCAGAAGGAGGAACTAAGGAGGAACTTCTCTCTTTCATACCATCCAGACTTAGAGAACAGTGTATTTTAAAGAGGAGGTTGGGAAGGGGACACTGAACAGGAACTATTTTGGATGGTTTGTGTACCATTTGGCTTTTAAAAGGTATTGTGAAAAGGGAGAAGCGGAGACTCGGGTAGTAGACTTGTTGGAAACTTTGTTCCTGGTATCCATAATCTTTGAAGTTTCAATACCGTTCTTGTAGTACAGTTCAGTTTAAACCAGCTATCCCTGTATTTCCATGCAGACAGTACCACTGAACAGGGCATGTGGCTTTCTAAATGGGAAGGGGTACTTGTAGCTGACTAGAAGGGAGTCTTGCATTACAGATCTGTTTTTCAAAATACCAAGTAAAAGAAAATGAACTTTGAGGGGTTTTTTAAAGGTACAGTAAATAGCCTCCTTTGTAGAACATTGACCATCTGCATGAGGGTGATGAAGAGTTCTTACAATAAGAGATTTTTGTCTTCCCGCTGAAGCACCATCTTCATCTGATCTAATGCAAGCATGCGTACCATTTTTGTATTCCCTGTGGATATTGAAAATGTGTTCAGCTTGTAACTTCTTTCTGATATGCATCCTATGTGGACCTGGGGCTTTGGGGCTAGGTTCTGCAATAGAGAAGCTCATGTGGGTTCTTCTACACTGTGTATATTCAGAATTCCTGATTTAATTCTGCACTGTGCAAAGTATACAGTTCTAATAGTTAAAACTGTAATGTATAAATTATAACATACATCCTGCCCTTTACCATGTTTTTTAATAACAAAAACTGGAACTACTCTGAAACTAAATCCCCTTGTTTCTGATAATACCTGAACTAGTATTGGTGGTTTAGTTTTGATGGCATTTATAGTAAGAATAGTAGTGGCTTTGAAAGTTATTTAAAGCCTCTACCTTTATTTATGACATTCAGTGTGCAGTGATTTGGTTGGTTTTTGAAACCCCTATTCAGAATTTAGTTGCTGGATAATACCTGTCATATTTTAGGTGCCATCTCTTGCAATGAGTATGTGCTGTACCTTATGTTTCAATCAGAACAATTATCCCATTGTTAATTAACCTTTTGTGAAAAACCCTGTTGTGGTCTGTTAATTAAAGTCTTCCATTGTATTTTTTTAATTAAGGGAAATAATTGTCGTTGATACACATTTGTAACATTCCATAAGGCTACACTAGTGTGTATTTTGATTTTATTTCTTGCTTTTTCTAGAATATTGAGTGGTTTTCCATCAACAAATTGCCATGCCACAGAAATGACATGACCCCGAAGTCCAAGCTGGGTTTGGCACCTAACAAATTTTTTATGGCAATTCCCTTCATCAGGTATGTTTGAGCAAAGGCAAATGCTAGGCCAGTGTCTTTCAGACAACTTTAATTTCTTTAGATTTGTTTTAGTAAGTAGGTCTTGTCGCACTTCTCCTTGCTCACAGGCCATTGAGGGAATGGATTTCCCGGAAGAATGGAGATTCCTCAGATAGCGACAATGGATTTTCATCTGCAGAGAGCACACCCTCTAAGCCCAACTTGGAAAAACCTAGGTAAGAACCAGGTCAGTTTAACACCTTTATATCCTTCCAATAAAACGTTGGTCATACAAAGCTGCTTGTTCTTTCTCTGATTATTTGTGTTCTGGTAATAGAATGGGTTAATGAAAAAAAAATTGCAGGCATATCTCATAGGACTGTAAGTAGGCTGAGAAGTTAGTTAGTGTGATGATATAAATTTTTTTGGTCAATTATCACATGTGTCAGAACTGAGATAATTTCCTGAGTCCTCTCTATGGGAATCCAAAAAACAGAAGCTGAAACAACTAGACACCTTGCAGTGCTTCAAGTTCAGTGCTTTTGGCACTTCCACAGAGGAATCAATAGGACTCTAAAGTAAGACTGTAAAGTACTATCAGAAATAGCTATCTAGCTAAGACCTGTGGGGGTCAGTAGGGGAACAAGTGCTGCTGGCTTTTGATTCAGTTGGTCTAAAAAGTGCAAGAGCAAACCTTAAAACTTGTAGTTGCAAGGAGAAGGCTATGTTCTAGCAATTCAAGTCAGGTCAGCACCAACACTCAAAACAACAGGACAAATGCCGACATGGACCTAGCCTGTTATCTGTGCAGAAGATAGGTTTGCTGTGAGCAGGCAAAACAAAGTTGGGTGAATGCAGTGAGCATTATTACAGTTTCCACACTAGGTTTACTTAAGCTTGTCTTCCAAGTTGTTCTCAAGAAGCAGAAAATTCTTTTCTATTTCTCTTCTGCTATCAGTAGGTTTGAAGTTGTCTTGTAAACTCTGTCTTTCTGCACTAGATTCAAACTTCGCTGTAGTCAGCAGGTGTTTACAGATGGCTTTTCAGGAGAGCAGGGGGTGAAGCCAAAACAGCCACAGAAGCCGTGTAATCATCCTGAGATGCCTGAAGTTTTGAAAATAAAGGTAGGTTGTTTCTTGGGCAAACATATGCATCTGGGTTGTGTCTTTGTTCATAAGGGGTCTTCTCTGGAACGAAAATACTGAATTTTATCACCATAGCATGCAAAAATAAAAACATGGAAAAAAAATCTTGGGGATTCTCTGATTTATTTGGTGTTAAAGGTGGTGGGTATCAGATGGTAGTTGGGTTGTTTCAGGTATAGAAACACTTACTGCTCACCATTTTGGTGTCCTCCATGTACCATTTTGAAACATTTTGGGCACATCTAGTGTATATGCATCAGTGTATGGGAACTCACTGAACTGAATTTATTGTGTAATACAGTGTCTGTAATAGTGCAAGAGACACTGAGTAACAGCTGATGACTCTTTGTAACTTGAGTGTATGTTTTGTTAATTTCAGTGTGTGTCAGTTTGTCTACAGAAGATACTATTTACCTATTTTGAGGTTATTTGGACAAAAATTTTAACTAATAAGTAGGAAATATCAGTGCAATGATGTTCAATGCTGCCATTTAACCTCTCTCTTTACTCTTCTCTTTTGGTCTTAATCGCAGAGTCAGAGCTTGAGGAGCAATGGCAGAAAGCAGTACCAAGACACTTCCAGCCAAAAGAAGCGAACAAATGGAGTCCACAGTCAACCAGTTAAGCAAAACCACACCTTGGTAAGAAACATGCAGCGGCTGTCTCATTTTACAGCTTCCAGTAATGATTAAGAAATGTCCAGGCAAAAAAGAAAGAAAGTACACTGCATATCTGTTAAAAGTATATTTGATCAGAATATATGGTATGTATTTGTAGAAATACGACATTTCTTACCTCGTATGCATATATGTCTACGGACAAGCATACTAAACGTCAAAGTTTGCATTTTGGAGTTAAGTCTTATTTTAGCAGTTGAAAATCTGACAGCTGTTTCAGTAGACAATCCTGCAGCTTTCGGGGCTTCTGTCAGGTAATAGCCTACTGTAGTGTGTAATAATAAGTCCGTGTAGTACATGTCTTATTTATTAATGTATGATATATTATTGTAAGCATGGAGTTTTGTTATGCAATAATTTGATACAAAGTGGTAATGCATATGCTTATTACTTACCTTCTCTCTAGCAAAAATGTTGAGATGCAGACTTGACTTGAACACCAGAATCTCATATATTTTTTAATCATACAGAAGAAGCACAGCAGTTTGTAAATTCCAGAATTATATTCTTGGTTTGTTACCTTTTCCTTGCAGTAACTATTTGTCTTTGTCCCCATAGTTCTGCTGCCTGAGAGAAGGCTCATTGAGATTTCTCTCTTTTGTTAATATAATGTCTTTTAGGTTTGGTTGTCCTCGTCCCCCCCGTCCCCCCCCTCATTTTTCTTATGGCTCTCCAATTCTACTTGGTTGGCTCTTGTGCAGCAGTGACCCCTAGTTTGCAATGTGGCTCAGATGGCTTGTCCAGGCTTTAGTTTTTCTTGTTTACTGGCTATAAGCTGGATTCTTCCCATTCTGGCTTGTGGTTATTACCTTCTCTCTGTTTTTCATGTAGAGGTGCAGAAACCATAAGCTCTCATCCTGTAAAATCCTCATTGTAGCAGGAGATGGTTAGTTGTGTTGGTTCCGAGAGCAGAAGCATGAAAAGTCAAAGAATTGACTGCCCAGAAATTTGGCTATGTAGAAAAAACTGAAACGGGAATCTGTAGGATCTTGATGGAAACAAGTAAAACTGTTAATACTCCACAGTTACTTTGTAGGCTCTTTACTGACTGCTAAATACCTGTGGTGTTTCATTTGCCTTTTCATGATTGTCAGTCTTTTGAAGTTTAAATATTTCATTTCCCAGTGATAATTGTGTAACACAGTTGGAGCCCAGGAGACTTGTAATTCACACAGAGTGCAAAGGGCCTTTCTTTTCTCTGTATTTGTATACTTGCAGCAGTATACCTGGGGCTAAAACTTAACTCTTCCTTGGAGAGTTCTAAGTTTGTGTCTCTAATGCATGCTAATTTAATTGGCAGTAGCAGCACGTTTGCAAATATATTCCCCTTGCTTTTTGGGTCAAACCAATTGAAGAATGGGTCTATGCATATGCAACTTTGATTCCAAACCACTATATGCAAGACTTTTCCAGCTTGAAACATTTAGAAAGCACTCACAATTTTTCTCTAAAAGCCTGAATTTTAAAAATGTTTTGTTGACTGTTAAAAGGATGCATGCTTCTGAAAGACTTGTGGACTTGAAAGATGCTTACTAGATAAAGTAACAAAATTCATGCTGAGGTAAAGTAAAATAGTTCATACACATCAGATGTGTCAAAGCAAATATAACCAGCATGCCTTTTAGCTGATGTTTAAGCTATACCTCTAAGAAACAGATTACTGTTTCTTTATGAAGTGTGTAATGTATGGTCATTCTTTTTACCAGAAATGTGAAAGAAGGCTTAATCTAAGAAGAGTTCAAGATAACTTTGAAACAGGCAAGTGCAGTCTGAATTTTCATCCATTGTCATGCATTACAGGCCGAAGGCACCTGAATAATGAAGGTTGAGATTTTTTCCTTGTATGCTAACCTACAAAATGTTACAAAGCCATATTTTTCTAAGGTAGTCTGAGTTAGGTTTTTTTTTTTTATTTAGTTCATGTTCTGCTTCATATTGGTTTTGCAGTTCTTCTCCTTAATTATCAAGACTGTCATATTATACCAGGTGGCTGAGTAAAAAGTAAAAGAAAGCTGGTTTAGGAAAATAGTATCTGAGTCTAACACAATGCTGGTAATTGAGTGTTGGTTCAAGGCTTTCTGTCCTACTAGTAACAAGCTGCAGTTGATACTGGACTGCTCTGGAGAGTGCATACAGTTCTTTACTTAGTGCTCAGAAAACAGGGCCATATTTCTTTCCTCTTTATTAAGAAATGTCTTGCAAAACAGGACCTATGGGTAAAACTGGCTATTGAAAGTGTACCCAGCTTGCCATGATTTAAGATTTTTTTCTAGCCACTAGATGACTTGTAAACATGGCTGTTTGAGTTACCTTCTGTTTATGACCAGACATACAGATTTTGTCATAAATATTAATTGAATATACATTTGAGGTGTGGCTTTGCATTGTTATTGATACTCTTATTGATAACTATCTGTTTAAAATTTGTTTCATGCTTTTCTTCTCTTTAAGCAGATGCAGCATATGAGATGTGTTGCTCCAGCGAAGACCCACTGCCACAACATGTAGACGGATGTTCTGTGGCATGCAATGGCCGTTACAAATTTTCTTTCTCATCAAGAGCTTTCTTGAGTTTCAAGTTTGACCATGATGCTATAATGAAAAGTTTTGACCTCTGACAGCAAACTCATTAGGAACAAAAATCAGATTTACCTTTTGCAATTGAGGAGGTTTCTTATCCAGCCTTACTCTTTCTCAGGAGTTTTTTTGTTTTGTTTTGTTTGTTTGTTTTTAAATGCAATGCAGGGACTGACTGGTGGTTTGGAAGGGTTTGTTCTCTTTGCAGTATGGGAGTGGCATAGTCAAGTGTTGCACTTTAAATGCAGTATAGCCTTTGTCCACAAACATACCTTTCCAGTGTTCAGTTCACTTGTTCCTAGCTGTGCATTAAGAGGGCATTCTTTTTTCTTTTTTTTTTTACTTGCTGTGTGTTTTATAGAATGTCATTGACTTTTTTTTAACCATTGGAGTATACCAGCTTTCTAAACTTTAACTGCTCTGATGTAAATTATTGGACTTGTTAGTCATTATTGTGTAGTACATTGCAATATTATGGCAGTGGCAATGAAACTGATTCTCAGAGGACTCCTCTGTCCTAGTGGTTTTGAAACCAAGTTGCACATTTCAAACCGAGCCTCAGCCTGTCATCCTTTCTCTGTCCTGGTTGCTTGCCCAAAATACTTTTTCTCCTTCACACTGATAGTTTCTGTTGGCTGGCAATCAGTAGTATACTTGGAGTCAAATCTATAGTGTGTTGACAACTTCTTGTACTTATTCTGCCTCTGTCTTCAATAAGGATACATAAACTGGGTAGAACTTGGCCATTCAAAGTATCTAGCTTCAACTCTTATGCACTGTCCCCTGCTGGGTAAGGAGGAGTTGCAAAGTTTTGTGTTATGCCAGTTGCAGCTGCTTTCAAAAAAGAAAAGCTTAAACTTTGTCTGTGAGAGGTTAAATATGTAGATTTTATACTGAATGTAAATAAGCCTCTGTAGATCTCGCTGAGGAGGAAGGCAGGTGCATGGATAATAGAGTCATTGTGTGACACTAAACGGCTTAATCAGGCTTGCAATAACTATTCTAAGGGTGTCCAGTATTTTATTCTGTGGTGGTGTCCTCAGATCTCGTGTAGTGTATGCTCTGTATATATCCAGTAGTATTGAATTGCACTTGCAGTTAGCATTTAAATTATGTAGCCTCAGTCGTTTTCAGCTACAATGCTTTCTTAGTAAAAATATCAAAGATTCGAGGGGGGGGCAGGAACAAAAAAAAACCAATAAGAGTTGAGATGACGAACTGTTAAATTACCATCATGTTTCAAGTTAAGGGGTTTTGAACACGTGCTTTGCAGTGGAGAGAAATGCACTCTAATTTGTCACAGCAGCTTGCGGTGGCAAGCATGTTGTCCCAGATTCCAAAATGGACTTTTCTCTAAACTGAAGGTAATTGGTAACTTCATAGGTTGAATGAATTAACGCCCTTGTCTCATCACAGTGTATGCTCATGCACTGATTCTTTATGCAACTTGTGTCATCCAAAAACAAAATCCTGGTCTTCCTTCAACCACCCTACTTCATCTACCCTACCTGATCTGTTACCTAGTGCTTTTCCTCAGAAATAGCTTTAGAACTTTCTCCTGGTTTATTTACCTGCCTGGCACCAGGTGATTTGGGACTCTAATGCTGTAATAATCTTGGTGATAGGAATGCTGGACTTCTGTATCAGCCAACAGGAGAAACAGACTGCAGCATTTCCTCCTTCTGGAGGACAAAAGTCCTGAGGGCCTTGTCTTTCAAGACCAAATTGTGAAATAACTCAATCTAGCTTTGTCTCACTTTTTTTTTTTTTTTTTTAAAGAAAAAAAAAAAGGTTTCCAAAGACCATTCAAAACAGTAAATGGCAAAGAACAGTAGTTGAGAAGGTGGGATAAATGCTGGAGGAGGTTATGTTATTCAGCTTCAGGTGAAAACTAATCTTTAGTTCCTTTGTTAGTGCAAGTAGTTGGTTTCCCAGCAAAAGTGCCTTTACTGATGGTGGGGCAGATATTTTTATTCATATCCTGAGGCTGCTACTGCCTGTGGAGTTAACAAGACTCTCCTAAGGCATGATTAAGTATCAGGCTGTGGAAATCTTTAATAAGTAAGTTGGCTTTTCAGATAATTTACAGTTGTATTTCATGTAGTGCTCTGTGAAATAAGGGGGATATTGATGAAACAGCAAACTTGGAGCTTCTGTCAACTGTTTGGGAAATCTTGTCCCAGACAGAGGAAGTCTTTAGAAAGAAGGAAGCAAGTGTGTCCTATGAATAGGAGATGCTGGCTGCCATCTATAGTCACTGGGTCATTTTTTTTCTTACTGAAAGGTTGGTTCAGTGTAAGAGAAATTGGTTGCTTCATTAAGCAACCCAAAGTGGGGTTTACACATGTCATGATTTTAGTAAATCTAGCCTTAATGTGAGTTGCAAATAAATGTGATAAATATGCAATAACTTACTTCTTTGTATAAGAGTACTGTTTCTTGTAGTAGCATTGCTTTCTGCTTTCTCAGTAAGGTTTCTAAAACAACTTAAGTGTTGGTGGCATGTGATCTGCCTTATGGGTTCCATCATGCCCTGTGCTGTGAACACTTCTAATTGTTTACTATTGTTTATGTTCTTATTTCACTTTCCTTTTATAATTAAGTATATTTTTAAGTTTAGAAGTACAGTTTACATTATCTTCTGTAAAACAGTGAAGAAATAACAAGTAAGATACAGAATTTAGTTCTGTGAGGTCTTTATTTGATGGAAGCTAGATACAGAGAAACAAGTAACTGTTTGCATGTCAGAGTCAAGAGCTGATGTCAAGATACTTGAAAAACAAACATTGCTCAATTTGAGAATGCTTGCCTGTAAGGGGTTATTCAGATTATGAACTGTCATTTGGTGTTCTTGAAATTAAAGAACTCATGAAATAAACATTTAACAAAGAAACTACAAATGTGTGGGTGCTGGGAATCTAGTACTATTTTGCAGTTTCTAGTACTACACAAACTCCTTGCTTTAGTGTGAGATTTTTAGCATGTTTCCTTTGCAGAATGCTCTAAACTGTGAACTCAGACTGAAGAGTGATCTGCCTAATTGAATGATGTCTGTTCTGTTCTGAAAGGCTGTTACCTTCAACTCTTTGCTGTATATGCATGCTTTTGAAAGAAGCTGTGTCTTATGCACTTTAAAGTCTGGAAACAGTGGTACTGGGGAGAAGAGGGGAAACAGCTTTATTGCACAATCAAAGTATTTTTTTAACACAACGTAAACTATTTAGACCAAACTTGCATAAATAGTTTCCAGTAAAATTTTGGGCCTCATCACTGTTCCAGGCTTCTGTGCTGTGCTCCAACCTTGCTGGTTTAATTTGGTGATTTGAGAACAATACTTAACTGGGTGTTTCTTTCACCCACCTGTGGGTGTTATAATTCAATAGTTCCTTATAAAAGCAAGGCAGGCTTTGGGTCTGGCTATTCCCAACAGACTTGTTCTCAGATTGTAATTTCAGATAAGGTATTATTTTTTCCAACTTTTACTTACTGTAATAGAGTTGTTTTTGTTGATTTGCAGTTTATAGCAGCACTCATGTCATTCTAGTGTGAAGAGCAAGAGTCTACATTAAGAATCCAAGTTCTAATATCCTGTGGTGCAAGATGGCACTGCTGCTCCATGGGTGACTGGCTGTCCCGTTGTTGGGTCAGTGGGCCGTTTAATCCTCAGCTACCTGTTTTTTATAAATTCTAAGCAACAGTTTTTTTCAGAGGTAAAGTCAGGTGCCTTCATTTTTTTAAATTACAAGGTTATACTCTAAATGTGTTAGGAAGCTCAAAATTATTGAAAACCGGTAGAATAGCCTCTGTTGTTGACTTAAAATCAGTTTATTTACAGAAATTAAGTCTTGCACTGTAAATGTTAAATAATCTGGTGCTTATACATGACTTCATAATTTCAGGTTTTTTTGTTACAGTCTCTCAGCTTTTGAAGCAACCAAAACTACTTAAGATATGGTAAATTTCTACAAACTAACTGAAGGTGCTTTTACAGTAAATTAGGCTTGGAAATGTCATTACTGTTGCATAATAGGTTTTTTGTTCTTATGCATTTATAGCAATAGTGAGGTTCAAGAAGGAAAGTAGGCTAAATGCTAGTATTTGCACTGTTCTTAATCCTGTATATAAGCACTGATAGATGCAGTAGGATTTGTGCTGTGTATGCATTTCACTGTTTCAAGTAGATTGTGAACTTAGAAGGAAGACAACAAATGTAGCAATTACATTGGCCATATTCAAGATCATACAAGAGGAAGTATTCTAGATTAGTAGTAATATATTAAAATTAAATGCTTGGGGTTTAACTTTTCATTGAAAATGTTAGGTTAAGCTAGACTTACTGTAAAGATTCAGCTTTACGGAAACCCTTATCTTTATATTGTTCTCAGCTCTGGAATACTTCTGGGAAGGAAGTAAAAGTGTTTTAAATTCCTCCAATACTTGCAAGATAAAAAGAAAGCTTGTTTTTAAGTAGTTACCAAAATTTCACAGGGTACAGAATGTTTAAATTTGAATATGTCTATTATGAAATTTACTGGAAACACTGAGTATTTTGTCATTGTTAAGCATTTATATTATTGATGAAAAGAACTAGCTTCTAGTTTCCATTATGGATTACAGTTCAGTGCCTTTAAGAAAATGATTACAGCTCATGGAGCATTCATAATTTTAAAACAAAGGCATTTATGGCTTTTTAAGAATACAGGTCCTGCAAACTCAGTTCTCTACAACACACTTCTCACTGTGATAAAAAAGTTTGCAAAATTTTTTTAAGCATGTTTGAGCACAATTACTAAACTGGGGAGATGAACCATTTATATGTTACTGGTTGGGTACATATTTTTGTTATGTAGGAAAAGTACACAAAACTGCGTGATTAAGAGCTCTCAGCAAATATTTCTCAAGCCGATACTTAAAACAGGATCCTTAGGCAACTTTACTATGTCTACGTAGCACTGCAGTATGTGGAACGTGTACTTCAGCCCTGAGGAGCAGTTTAGCTGGGTTTGCAAGGCACTTTAAAAAGCAAAAGAGATTCCACAAA